TAACCCGCTTTGATGAACAGGGAAGGTGTCGCTTGCCTACCCGTGATTCCACCCTTACCCCGTCGTCCAGTCGGTTCTCGTGGCTGATAACTCGTACGCCTGCCTCACTGCTCGCCGAAGCAGAAAATAAAAACACTGGTGATAAAAAAAAAAGGTGACAAATTGAAAATGAAACCGAGTTGGGGAGGCGGTAGCCCCGTGAATGAATATCGGGTGGATGGCACCCGATTTATCAACCTTACCACCCGTAAGTGAACCTTCTATTAATACTAATTGAGGAGGTGAAGCAAGTCAGGGGCTTAAAAAGGGTTAAAATAGTTATTTATTACCCACTTTAGAAGATATATATCTGTGTGTGTGTGTGTGTGAGAGAGAGAGAGAGAGGACACGTGCGTGTGTGCGGGTGTAATAGAGAGAGAGAGCAAACGTGTTTGTGTGTGTGCGTGTGTGTATGTACGTGTACGCGTGTGTGTGTTTATGTAGATGTGTGTGTGTGTTTGTATCTGTGTATGTGCGCGCAGGTTGGTGGGTGTGCGTGTGAACGTGTGTGTGTTTGTGTACGTGTGTTTGTTTGTGTGTGGATTTATCTGGTGGAATGTCTGGCAGTTCTTACGCGTATCAACATTGATCTAATACTTTATATATATATATATATATATTATATATATATATATATATATATATATATATGAAAGGTGGCCTGATGATTGCGTCGAGCATAAAACAGCCTGTCGCCTCTAAGTGTTGACTTCAGTGTTCACTTTTATATTTACACACGCTCTATCTCTGATATTGACCACTTTATCCCATAAATATAACACACCTTATGAGTATATATATATATATATATATATATATATATATATATATATATTCACGTTTTATTGAATATCACAGACAAGGTGCTTTGATTTAGTTTTTTATACAATTTCTCATGTGATACATTATTCGGACTATTGTCCTCATCTTTGTCGCCACATTTATTACAACGTTTCGGCCGTTGTACGCTCCTGCCTTCTTCAAATGGAATGTCGAACTGAACCCTTTATTTCGCTCGCTGGGGTAGGCTGTTCTAGTTCCACGTGCCATGTTTAATGGATGTCAGTTATCAGTTATCTCCTGATAATTTTCCCTCCACTGCCTTAACCGGGTATTGAACTCACACTCTTTGGGTCCTGGATCTAAATAACGCCTTTATTCATTGTGATATCAGATCAGTGTCTTTCTTGTTGGCTGTTAAGTGAATGATTGTTATTGAAATTTTAATTAGTATAGTTATGTATGTTTGTGTGATCGCTATATATATTTGTGTATTTAGGCAGCAATCTTTTTTTTTCATGCACATATAATTGAATACGACAGACAAGGTGCTTTGATTTAGTTTTTTATACAATTTCTCATGTGATATTTTCTTTTCTTTTCAGATGATAAATTATATAAAAACTGTCCAATTGTTCTTTTTATCCGAGAAACACGGTTAAGACATTGCGTTCATGTTCATAGTTGATATTTTGAAAATGAAAACATATACAAATGAATACATACAACAATCTATTTCATGTTAACAGTTAATATATTTCAACCTTGAAAATGGCTAAATGTATAGCCGAAAGCGCTCAGAAAAAAAGATCAATTGGACAGTTTTTATATAATTTATCATCTGAAAAGAAAATAAATTATAAGATCACATGAGAAATTGTGTAAAAAAAACTAAATAAAAGCACGTAGTATGTCGTATTCAATGAGACGTGCATGAAAGAAGGATTGCTGCCTAAACACACACACACACACAGACATATATATATATATATATATATATATATATATATATATATATATATATATATGTGTGTGTGTGTGAGAGAGAGAGAGAGAGAGAGAGAGAGAGAGAGAGAGTAAATATTGATTACAATCATAAAGTATTATTATTAAAGTCAGTCAGTAATTGTCATTTAGAAAAAAAATATTAAAAATGATCTTCGGACAATTTCTGATGGAATTTCCTTCTTATTTGACAAGGATTATTGGTCATTTGGAAAAGTCGATTGTTAAAATTAATAGACAAAATATCTGTTGCTTTTAATAAAATAAATACACAGAATATATGATATATATATATATAGATAGATATGTGTGTGTGTGTGTGTGTGTGTGTGGAAATTGTTTGAAAAAGTGGAAAAAGTTTACTTGTGACATGATTCGTCCTTCAGCTCTTCATTCGACTAAATTTGTTATATAATTTATATCTATATATTAAAATAAATTAAAAATACTGGCTACTATTAATAGCAAATAATATATGTTAAATTATACAATTCAATATAAATAAAATTTTACAGAACCTCTGCAAATATTGTGTTCAATATAAGACTACAGCGATAGTCATTATTAAAACATAGGTAAAAACTAAAAAAAAAACATTATTATTTATTGCAGAGAGTCCGCAAGATTAACTATAGTAGTAAAAATGTTAAATTTAACGTTTCAAACGAATATATATATAATATATATATATATATATATATATATATATATATATATATATAGTTTCTACCATCATCAAATGATTTTAGGCAGTATAAAAAACAAAAACAGCGCTGCTTTCTCGAAATATTTCTGGCAATTAAGGAATGATGGTAATACACCCTGGATATCGTAGCAAGAGCCAAATCTTAAAGCGGTAAAGGAAATAGATGAAACTTATTTGTTGTTGAAAATTTAATTATCTTAAAACACTTAAATAGCCCCAATCTTATTAAACAAGAGAAATGAATTGATTATTACATGGAGACATAAAAATAAATATCTGCTCAAATACTTTCATCCAGATTATTTTTAATGTAAATTATGCTTTGTGTGTTTAAAGTAATCTCCCTTTAATCTTAATATAAAATTAATATTGAATATATATATATATATATATATATATATATATATATATATATATATATATATATATAGTTTATTTTAAATGCCTAATATATTTGTTAAAAATAAAAAAGGGAATCCCAACATTAAGTTAACCAGATATTTTTATTAAAATTTAAGTTACGTAACGGTCAGTCTATACCCAGCACCTGAAGACTGTGTTGTCCATGAAACTCGAGTCGTACTACCGGTGAAGAATAATATATATATATATATATATATATATATATATATATAATATATATATATATATATGTGTGTGTGTGTGTGTGTGTGTGTGTGTGTGTGTGTGCTCACACGTAAGAGTATTCGAGCCAAGTTCTTTTTAAATAATAATTTCTATTATTGTTACTACTAACCGAAACAACGACCAAATATTAGTAAACATTGGGGGTACATTGTATAAGGAGTGATGAAGAAGCGTGCTACATCATAACTTGATAGCCTAATAAGTCAGGCAACACACATGAGTGACGAGCGCTTGTAGTTTAACGAAGGATAAAGAGAGATTGTTTAAGATTAAGAAAAGAAAGCAGAACACACATTGAAAGAGAAAACGAATAACCTAAATTAATTATATATAAAATATGAATAATTATAATTAAATAATTATAATTAAATAATTATAATTAAATAATTATAATTAAATAATTTTAATAATTAAAATATGAATAATTATATATAAAATATGAATCATATTTCATATTTTTATTACACATGGTATCCTTTTTTACATTTTGCATACATTGCAAGATTGGACGTGCAAGTGGCTTAAAGGTAACTAGTGCAGAAAATAAAGCCAAACCAACAAGCCGAGTTCAAATTTCGGCAGAGGAAGTATTAATATCTTTTTCCACACCCCGCCAGCTATGGGTGAAGTACCAGAGCAGGCTGGCTTCTGTAACCTAAATAGTGAAACCACTCTAAGAAAACAACTCTGAATTGCAATTCACATGTTTTTAATTATTTCAGCCCGAGCAAGGCAATAAAGCCATTAAGACGTAAGGGTGGCTGTGTGTACTGAGTGTTAAAGAATATGAGAAAAATACTATTAAGGAAAGAGAAAAATAAAAGAACAAGAATTAAGAAGACAGAACATAATGATTGACATTGCATTAAAATTTTTGAGGATCAAATCTGACTGGAAAGCAAGAAGCCGGAATAAGTAAAACGTGCGAGAGAAGAAACTGTTAACCTAGAACTTACGTCTACATTTAACCATTTCAACTCTAAAATGATGAAACCTTACCGCAGATCTAGTTCTACGCTTAAATTCATAAACTCTAGGTACCATAGGCGAAAGTTCATCAAAATAGTTAGCATGAAAGTATTCATAGAAAATGACACAGGGAAGCTACATTACGGCGGTGATTGAAGCGGAGATGCCAAGACAGGACCAGTAATATTGAACATTCTTCTTTGCATTTTATCAAGAATCTCTAAATATATACCAGACCAAATGTGACAACAATATTCAAAGCAGGGTTGAATGGTAAACTTTATAAATATGTAAGAGAGATTCTGGAGAGAAAATGTCTAGCACGACACAGTGAATCAAATTTCCTAGCAGTAGATGCAGCAATTGATTCAGTATAATCTCTCCTCTTTATGTCAGCGGAAAGTTTAATCCAAAAATCTTGGAGGTTAGCATCAGCCATGCTGATGAAAAGCAGAAAGATTTCTCTCAGATGATTGACAGAGAGCAGTTTCTTTTAGGAGACGTTAAAATTAATATGACATTCCCTACCTCAGGATTTTGAGATTTCCGTGGAATTGATGCTGATTTTTAATTTTTTTACAATTCTTAACAATAAAAAGATTATATTTGTTTATTTGTAGATAATAAAAGCATTGTGGTTATAGGGTGTGCAGTTCCACTTCGAAAAAGTGTCAAATATTTTCAATGTTTGACACTTTTTGATGTTATAACCATTACCCAGCCACCCGTCCACTACTCTTCTGAACATTTGAAAAAAATCTCAGAAACAAACCACCAATTAACAAACTGACAAATTCTTTTTCTTTCGCTTCTGAATTTTTCGTGAAACTTCTTTCTCTGCTTTATTTCCCAGAATCATTCTTTTCCTTTCCTCCTTACTCTCCTCCCAGCCTTACTCTCCTTCACGCCTTACTCTCCATTCCACCTTACTCTCTTTTCCTCCTTTCTCTCCTTTCAAGAACAGTGAAACGTCTTTTTCCTTGACGATTCATCAAATAGCTAATTTCATTTTTTTTCATTACATATGTTTTTACTTTTTTTTTTTACTTCTTAATGTTTTCTTTGATTTTTTCTTTCGTCCTTTTCCAACCAATTCTTCCATTCTTTCTTCATGTCACTAATCCATTGTTAATTTCTTTCTCTCTTTCTTTCTGTTTTTTTCTTTTTTGTTCTTCTTGATTTCGTCTTTATTTTTTTTTTTTCTTTGTCTTCTTTTATTTGCCATCCACTTTCCATGTTGGCTTTCTTTCTTTCCATTTCAATTTCCGCTTCACTAAATACAGCATCTTTTTTTAAAGCACACAAAAAGCTTTCAATTGGCTAACGGATGGCAAGGGTTCGGGTGGAGGTTACTAGGAGTGCGAAAAAACCAAGATGAGAAATTGGGGTAAGAAGAGTCGAAGGGCATGTTCGAGTGTTTTCGCTTTTTTTTTTTCTTTTTCTTTTTTGACAGGTGCCTACCGATAACATTAAATAAGTTTGTTTTACCCTGTAACAAAGCGACCACAATGCTGGGAAGGGGTCAATCGCGGATGAAAGATGGTGCTATTAGAAAGAAAGAAAGAAAGAAAGAAAGAAAGAAAGAAAGAAAGAAAGAAAGAAAGAAAGAAAAAAAAGTTAAAGGGGGAGGGCCAAGAAAAAGAAAAAGAATAAAGTTACAAGAAAGAAAAGAAAGAAAGAAAGAAAGAAAAGAAAGAAAGATTTAGTTAAAAAAAAAGGGAGTTATAAAAGAAAAAAGTTAAAGTTAAAGAAAAAAGAAAGAAAGAAAGAAAGAAAGAAAGAAAGAAAGAAAGAAAGAAAGATTTAGTTAAAAAAGGGAGGGCCAAGTTATAAAGAAAAAAGAATAAAGTTACAAGAAAGAAAAAGAAAGAAAGAAAGAAAGAAAGAAAGAAAGAAAGAAAGATTTAGTTAAAAAAGGGAGGGCCAAGTTATAAAGAAAAAAGAATAAAGTTACAAGAAAGAAAGAAAGAAAGAAAGAAAGAAAGAAAGAAAGAAAGAAAAAGAAATAAAGAAAAAAGAAAGAAAAGAAAGAAAGAAAGAAAGAAAAAGAAAAGATTTAAAAAGATTTAGTTAAAAAGAGTTATAAAGAAGGATGAAAGAAAAGAAAGAAAGAAAGAAAAGAAAAAAATGATGTTGCAAGAAAGAAGGAAAGAAAGAAAGATTTAATTAAAAAGAAGGGAGAAGTCAAAAAGAGAGAAGAATGAAATTACAAGAAAGAAAGAAAGATAAGGTTAAAAAGAAAGAGAGACACAAAAAATGATCGAGAAAGAAACAAAGAAAATTTAAAAAATGAATAAAAACAAGAAAGAAAGAAAAAATATTTAAAAAATGAAAAAGAAAAGAAAGGAAAATGAAATAAAAGTTTAAAAAAGAAAAAGGAAAAGGAATTAATTGAAAAAAAGAGAGAGAATGGTTTAAAAAATAAAAAGTAAAAGAAGATGAGCGCAAAGATGAATGGACGACGAAGCAAAAAAAAAGAAGGGAGAAAAAGAAAAAAAAAAAACGCGAAACAATGAAAAAAAGCAATCATTAAAAAAGAAGAGCAAATCACAAAGAAATTACAAGAAAAACGAATGAATGAAAAAAGATGAAAAACAAACATCATTTAAAAATGCAACAAAATATTTAAAAAATGTTAAAGAATAACAAAATGAAATAAAAGTTTAAAAAAGAAAAAGGAAAAGGAATTAATTATATTTTAAAAAAATAAATTTAAAAAGCAACTCTTCTCTTATATATGTTTAGCTAAATATGACAAACAAGGAATATTTTGTAAGTCTTTATTCAGTTTTTCTTCTTTCTTTAAAAGTTTTTTTTTTTCTTTTTTTTTTTTTAAGATTGAGTGTATGGGGAAATTGTCCATAGTGCTTAATGTCCCGAGGGCTTCCAGTTAGTTTTTTAGACATTTTCAAAAAGAGGGTGATTCTTCTTTTATAGCTGTGGAATGTGATTAATATGTAAGAAACGAAATCTATAAAACAAATAGATAATTCATCATAAATTTACTAATAATGCACGCCTTCAAAACCACTTCATTAAACAATGTGTGTGTGTGTGTGTGTGTGTGTGTGTGTGTGTGTGTGTGTGTGTTATATGCCCCATGTAAAGTGGGGGGAGATAAATATTTGTACACATACAAATTTTTAATTTATTGTATTCCCAACTAATGAATAAACATACTTTTCATATAATTAACTGTACACAAATGCATAATAAATAAATATGCATAGAAAGTAGAAAAATTTTTGATCTAATAGAAATAAATCCCATTTATCCATTTTAATGGGTGAAAAAGTATTCGTACAATACAAATTTCCGATTCTAAAACTTTAAATTGCTTTAATACTCTAGATTATTCAAGTGGAATATTCAAAAATGTTCCAATAATGTTATCAGTGGTTATTCTTAGTCTACAAAATACAAACAAAACATTCTGTTGCTGATATTCGTGCAAGAAGGTTTTCATCATGGCAAGAGGTAAAGAACTGACAAATTCGCAAAAATAACTAATTGTTAAACTCTGGAAAGAAGGTAAAAGTTACAAGGAAAATCCCAGACAGTCCGCATATTCCATGTAATACCATTAGTTCATTCATTGCAAGGTATGAAACATTAAAAATTATTGAAAACCTAAGAACAGGTGCTCCACGGAAAATTTATTCAAGATATTTGAGTAAATTAATGCGTCAAATTAAAGAAATTCAATGGTTACTCGTCAAGAGTTGCAGGATGATTTGTTTTTGTCTGAAATCTGTGTCACTAAACAGACAATAAGCAATGAAATTCATAGGAACAATCTAAAGTCTCGCTCCCCTCAAAAAACTCCACTGCTATTGAAAAGACACAGAGATGCCAGATTAAAATTCGTTCGTCAACATAACGATAAGGAAAAATCGTATTTGGAAAGGGTATTATTAGAGAACCCGCTCAGCCTCCCACCAGTATGGCTGATGCTAACCTCCAGGAAAATGAATCATTGCGCCTTCTCGGGTTTACGTTCTCTCTGACAAAGACTAAATTGAATCCATTAATAGGTCAGTTGCCAAGAAAGTTTAGCCACTGTAGTGCTAGATAATTTTTCTTTCCAGAATTTATCTTACATATCCATAAGTCTACTATTTGTCGATGTTTAGAATATTGCTGCCACATATGGTCCACTGCCTCTGGTATTTACCGTGAGCGCCTTGATAAAATCCAAAGAAGAATCAGCAATATTATTGGTCCTGAACTGGTGGCTCGGCTTCAGTCACTTTCCCACCGTCGTAAGGTAATTGTTTGGATGAGCTCATTGCTATGGTACCTAGACTGGCAATGAGAGCTCATCAATTTACAGTTGAACTGGCTAGATGTAGCCAGCAGTTCTATGCTAACAGCTTCTTGCTTGTGGAACTCCCCCATCCAAGTCCATGATTTCTAGCCAACTTTAATCTGCAAAAATTTAAATACATTCTCAATCATTACCTGCTGTCTTCCTGATTACTCTTTTCTCTTTTCGCTCATTATTAATGTTTCTATTCTTAATTCTTCCACACCCTGTAACCCCTTGTGTTTTAGTTGCTTTACTGCCTTGCATAGGTTAACAATGATCATATATATATATATATATATATATATATATATATATATATATATATATATATATATATGTTAAGTGGCTTTCTTGCCAAATAATTTATTATCACATTATTAATTAAAAGAAAATTAATTTTGATTTTAAATTCTCAGATTCTCCTCTCCTTCATGCGCATGTGTAGTCATATGAATGTAAATATCACTTTCGTTTGGTTAAGTTCTAAAGGATGAAACGAACTACGCGAAAAGTTTTTTTTTTTTTTAATCTTCCTTAAATTTTTCTTGATATGTAAAATTCATATATCGCTTTGCCGTATATATATATATATATATATATATATATATATATATATATATATAGATAGATAGATAGATAGATAGATAGCAGCGTGATGACGAAACATCGCTAAAAAAGTGGAGATGTACCAGTCTTTAACTTATAAGAAACATGGCAGAATTTTTTAAAAGTCTTCCAAAGCAATAAAATTAAGAATGGAACGTGTCGTAACAAAAGTTCACCATTTCTGCAAATATGATTCTTTTTTTTTTTTTTTTTGTGACGGACTTAAACCAAAATCAATTTTTGCGGGTGGGGGAATATCTTCTTACTTTGTGACTGTCTGACATAGAATGGTTTCTGTAAAATTTGACTCAAAAAAGAAAAAAAGAAAGAAAAAGAGAAAGAGAGAGAGGGGGGTTGTTGGGGGGCGAAGAAAAAGATCGTGATTAAATGATTCTCAGGAAGACTCGGCTGGGTGCTAAGATCGGTGTGACTTCGAGTACAAGATAGTTTTACCTAGAATCTTTTTTGTGATGCATGCGTGCACACACACACACACACATATATATATTATATATATATATTATTTGATGTATATATATATATATATATATATATATATATATATATATTATGTAAACCATAATAAACCATTTTTCAAGAATTCAGGCTAACCATCAGAATAAAATGTACTGAGGTTATACATACAAACACCCGATGCTATATCGAACCTAACAGTTTAATTATTATGTATATTTCGGGAATTGGGAAAATCTGTGTTCTAAAGAACGATTTCTGGTGGTTTTCTTGTAACACCAAAGATGAAGTAAAGTCAGGGATTATGGCAGCATTCACCAACTTAAACAATGAAACCGTCCAGAAGAGATTCCGAAGTTGTCTGGAGGCCGTGGTTAAAACAAATGACGATTTTATTGAATAAATGTCAGTGTTATTTTCATTTTTGTGTAATTTAGACGACAATTTATCTATCTTTTATATATATATTTATATATATATATATATATATATATATATAATATTTAAAATTAAAAAAAATTAAATAACAGCTTAATCGTAGTATCTTGTCTGTCGTCTTTAATGAAACATGTATAAATGAAGAATTGGTGTCTAAATACACAATATATATATATATATATATATATATATATATATATAAGTGAACATTGAAGTCAACACTCAAGGCGACAGGCTGTTTCATGCTAGACGCAATTGTCAGGCGGCCTGACGATTGCGTCAGCATGAAACAGCATGTCGCCTCTGAGTGTTGACTTAAATGTTCTCTTTTATATTTATATTTACATACGCTCTATCTCTGATATATATATATATATATATATATATATATATATATATATATATAGAGAGAGAGAGAGAGAGAGAGGAGAGAGAGATAAGTGGGGAGAAAGAGTGGGTCGTGGAGGTTACATAAATATGGTATTGTTGCCATATCTGAGCTGGCCATTCCTTACTGTCAGAGCCTTTTCAGAGTTTTAAAATTTTTACGGTTCTTGTGGGTGATGGCTTATGTTTTCCACCCTACAGCCTCTTTCCCACAGTCGGAATATGGCAAGCGTGTCACTATTTCCATGCCAAATAAGAACTAGTCGGTGGTTCGAAAGGAAAATTGTTAAGAATCCCTGCTTTGATGAGACTAGCTTTCGAATTGCACCTCTAGAAACAGTGAGATTTAAGTGCGCCTGGCGTAGAGCGATGGCTTGAAAGTCAGGCACTCTTAGATACAGTGGGACTATAATTTGTGTAGAGATCGTATAAAATCGTTTAAAGCCGACATTTCAGTGCAAAACTTTTTTTTACTTCTTTCCTTTTGTGTTAAATCTATTTAAATACTTCTTAATTGTGACTCTCTCTGCCTCTCTCGCTCCCTCGCTCTCTGTCTCACTCTCTCACAAGCTCCCTCTCTCTCTCTATCTCTATCTCACTCTCTCTTTCACGTTCACTCGCTCTCACTCTCTCTCTCTATTGTTCCCTCTCTCTCTATTTCACTTTCTCTTTCTCACGCTACCTCGCTCTCACTCGCTCTCTCTCTCTCTTCCTCTCGCTCTTTCTCTCTAACTCTCTCTTACGTTCCCTCGCTCTCAATCACTATCTTGCTCTCTCTATCTCTCACACGCGACCTTGCTCTCGCTTGCTCTCTCTTGCTCTCTCTCTATATATATATATACATCACGCTCTCAATCTCACTTTCTCACGCTACCTCGCTCTCTCGCTCCCTCTCGCTCCCTTTCGCTCTCTCTCTCTAACTCTCTCACGCTCCATCGCTCTTAATCGTTATCTCACTTTCTCTATCTCACTCTCTATCTCTCTCACACGCGAACTCGCTCTCACTCACCCTCTCTTGCTCTCTCTCTATATATATATATCTCACGCTCTCTCTCTCTCTCTCTATCTCTACCTAAATCTCTCTCTCTCGCTCCCTCGCTTTCTATTTCTCTCTCTCACTTCCTCCCTCTCTCCCTCTCTCTCTCTCTCTCTCTCTCTCTCTCTCTGACTGCTCTGTTCTTTGCTATCCTTTCTCTTTTCCTGTAACGTCTGCATTTTGTTTCTTTCCACCCTTTTATTATAATGTCATCATCAAGACAATATGGCTTGTTAATGAGTCAACACACCAAACGAATTCTGGCGCCGATTGCCAATGTTAATCGTTGCAAAGCAGACAAATGTCCAGTAACACAAGGTGGCGCTATCGTCAGTTCTAAGTGAGAATCGTGTCCAGTTCGTAATGTTTGCTATTTAAGAACTTTGTGAATTTGGCTAATACTGAGCTTCTGCAAATATTCATAATGAATTACAAGAGATTTATACATTCCTGGGATCTTTTTCCATAATTTAACACAATTATACAACACACACACACACACACACACACACACACATATATATATATATATATATATATATATATATATATATATATATATATATATATATATATAAAATAATTATAATTTGGGCTTTACTTTTGTATTGAGCACTGTTTTTTAAAAATAAAAACAAAAATACTTAAGAACTTCGGATTATTTGCTTAACGTGTTCTTTCCTATTTTTCTATATATTTGCATGCACACACACACACACATACATACATATATATATATATATATATATATATATATATATATATATATATATATATATATATATATATATATATGTATATGGGGGGTAACAGTAAAATTGTTCAAATCGTATAACAGTATAATTGTCCATCCCACAAAATAATATCTTTAAAAAAACACGAAACTAATTTAGTATCATTTTTCTGGGTTTTTAGGTAAGATATTTAGCTATCTTGATTACGAGTTGTCCTAAGAATTACTAAAAAACGCATTTAAGTTATTCAGCTAAAAGGAGAAGAGGTCAAAATCGTTGTGTGCCAGACGCACTGTCTCCCCAACAGAGCAATGCTGAGAGGAAAAAGATTATTCAGGCCTTCAGTAATGTTACCAACGTTCATACTCTGGCTTCCATCAAGAAAACGATAAATAAGTTTTAAAAAAGAGGGAATAGTAGAGAGAAAAACTTGATCAGGAGGTGGAAAGAGAAAGAGTGGACATCATTTCAACAAAAGAGATAAAGAGATCAATTAGAAAAGATCCAACTAAATCTATAAAACGTTTGGCATGTGAGAGAGGACTTTCAACTATGAGAGTTCAAGGAGCAGTGAAAAAAGATTTGAAAATGAATACGGTATATATATATATATATATTTATATATATATATATATATGTGTGTGTGTGTGTTTATATATACACATATATGAGTATTTTTTAAATTCTCTATATTCATAGAGGGAGATTGATTGATTCGTTTTCTACGGCTTATCAACCCTTTGCAGGTTATTTAAAGGCAGAAAATAGTTTTAGATTGTAAGATTTTTTTGAGACAATAATGATTTAGTTATACAAGTCTGACTAAGTAACCCATAGCTGGGGGGGAAAAGTGGTAGATTCATACTTTTCCCAAGGTTGTTTGTTGGTGCGTAAGTGAAGTTAACGAACCCGACCGGAATTCGAACCCTGCTCTCCGATTAACATTTCCGATACATTATCCATTAGACCCCACCCCCTCGCATCCAAGCTTACAGCATCTGCTATTAGCAAGCGCTAAACCATCTAGGTACTGACATATAAAGGAAGCATTTGTAGATATAGACAGTGTTATTTGATTTAATTCGATTTATTTTTTACGGCTTATCAACCCTTTTTAGATTATTTAATTCTGGAACATATTTTTGATTTAAGTATATATATATATATATATATATATATATATATATATATATATATATATATATATATATATATATATATATATAAAATTTAAGACATTTTATCTTTATACATTCTTCTTATAGATAAAATAATTAAGTAAATGCTCTGCTTTTTTTTGGGGGGGTTGGGGGGTAAATAAATAGTATTTATAACATTTACCGACCTGAATGTCCGATAATTTTTTATAGAAAATATTCGTTCTCCGACAGGAATCGAATGTTTATACATTCTGTGGTTCAATCCTATACGGAACCGTCATTTAGCCTGACGTGCTCTTAACCGATCGAGCCACAGAGGATCGTCCGATTTGCAAGGTCGAATTTACTGCCTTTATGGCGCATCCAAATGTAAACAAATGATGTCACACATCATGAAATGGACAAAGTCCGACAATTATTTTGAAGACATTTTTATGTTTATACATTCTGTGGTTCAATCGCTTAAGAGCACATCAGGCTAAATGAGGGTTCCATATAGGATACAGGTTCGAATCCTGTCGGAGAATGAATATTTTCTATGAAAAGTTTTCAGACCTTCAGGCCGGTAAATGTTATAAATACTGTAAAATAATAATAAAAAAAAAAAATAGCATTTACTTAAATATTTGCATCTATAAAAAAATGTATAAACATAAAATGTCTTAAAATAATTGTCGGACTTTGTCCATTTCATAATATATATATATAGATAGATAGATAGATATATATATATGCTTGTCTGAATAAATTACAGACATTATATCTGCTAATTTTTAATAAAATCCGTTCATATTCACGAATAACCTGCAGTGTACTTGTATTAAAGGATGAGAGAAATGTACTATAGCAGTTTAATTTTCTTTTCATTTCCGAAGTACTTTCGATCTTCTTTCAAGTTCATCTTCAGTGGTGCAAATAGTACAAAACTCTATATTATTCATTAGTATAAGTATTTAAACAAAATTGTGCGTTCTTATCCATTAATGTAATTTTTTCATTATGTTTTTAAATGCAAAACGATTGATAATGTGCTGAGCGTTCATTAGAACGTGAAAAAAAATATCCTTTATGAAATCTTTTCATATTATAATGTCATGGTCATGTGCGCATCTTGGAAGAAGATCGAAAGTACTTGGAAAATGAAAATAAAAGTATTTTAACAGCTATAGCACATTTCTCTCATCTTTTAACATTAATACACGGAAAGTTATTCGTGAATATGAAAGGAATTTATTAAAAATTACCAGACAATGTTTGTAATTTTTTCAATCGGACTTGCCTAAAAGAGAATTTGCTACCTAAACACACACACACACATATATATATATTTCAGACATTTTTATGTTTATACATTCTTTTTATAGATACAAATATTTAAGCAAATGCTCTGTTTTATAATAAACAGTATTAAACAACATTTATCGGCCTCAATGTCCGAGAAACTTTCATAGAAAATATTCGTCCTCCGACAGGAATCGAACTTGTATCTTATACGAACCGTCATATAGCCTGACGTGCCTTAACCGTTTCGGCCACAGTGGAGCGTTCGATTGGCAAGGTCGAATTTACTGCCTTACTAAACTTTAATCTTCCATGATTCTCTTACGTACATTCATATCTGCTCATGGCGTATCAAATGTAAATAAATGACGTCACATATTATGAAATGGACAAAGTCTGACAATTATTTTAAGATATTTTTATAAATACAAAATTTCATTTTATTATAATACAGAGCATTTACTTAAGTATTTGTATCTATAAAAAGAATCTATAAACATAAAGATGTCTTAAAATAATTGGCGGACATGAGAAATTACATTCATAAATTAGATTAAAAGTAAAACTAATAAAGATGTTACCGTAACTATTTTTACAATATTAAAAAAAGTACGATTGGTCGGGTAAACAAACTATTATAATTTAAAATATATTTTTAATATGTTCTCTATAACTGTGTTAATAAATATAGTATTTAATTTATATGAAGTCCCTAAACTATTTGTTTTTAAAAAATTAAATATTTAAATTAATAGCAAACATCAAATTTTTTTAGACATCTAAATTTCTATCAAGCATTAAAATCTATTCTTTACATAAATTGCTAAAACCCAATTACAACCTCTTTCTCTTTACTTCCCTCTCCCTCTTTTTTCTTTTTCTTTTTTCCTTTTTTCTTTTCTCCCTACTCCCCTCCCATTTCTATATATCACTTCCGTTAAGTTAACCGTCTAAATAGGCCAAGGTCTGGTCACTCCTCCTCCCACAATATAAAGTATACTTGAGAGAGATATGAAACTAATCCCTTCCTATACTCTACCATATCTCTTTAACTATCCCTCTTACACTCTCTGTTAAATTACAAAAACTTACACTACCCATCAATTTTAATTTCATTTTTCGTTTCATTTCATTTTTTGGAAGTGCTATCTGATGATCCGGCGTCCTTTAAAAGGACTCTGGTGAAATAAATTATTATAATGGTACCTTAAAGTGGTCTATTTTTTTTAAATTTATATATATATATATATATATATATATATATATATATATATATATATATAGCTGGTCACTCGTATTCGAGGATACCCGTCTACTAGAGCAGCTAGTCAATCCCTATTGCAGAATCTCGCTCAGGCACATTCGTGTTTGTTCAACACCCACAAAGCCCACCTGTGGTTTATACTGCAACTATGCTGAGCATACCTTAGTTACAGTTTCTGGTATAGAGCACGTTATGTAGCGTGATCAACAATCTGAACATGGTCAGAAGACTCAGACTCTCGGTCACGATGACTTGTGACTTCGTTTGGCACAGTCATCGACGGTTCGCCAAGTGTTCCGTCTACCCATTTTCACTCACAAGGCTTGGGTCAACCCGTGGTATGGTTTTCAGGCACTTTCCAAAGGTGCCACATGCTGGGATCAAATATATAAATGTGTGTGTTTGTGTGTGGGGGGTGTCGAGGGGTGCGTGTGTTGTGAGTGAATATTGCATGAAGAATTTCCTTTTCAGCATAACAATGTTTAACAGATTCCAGTCCTACTATTTAATCCATAGAGATGGGTTCATACCTTTCCTAAGGTATATGCGCGACTAAACCGACTGGGGTTCGAACTCGGCACTCCGGATTCTCTTTCTGAGCTGTTATCTACCTGCACTTTGGATACATATATCGGAATTGTATACGAGCTTATAACTAAGCATTAGTTGGCTATATTGTTGGGTCTGTATGCATCCATTTGGAAGATGGCTGGAAGGGATAGAGTCGGTGTCTTCTACACCCTGATCATAAGGGGAGCATAAAGGTGGGTATGTTTATATTGTAGTATGCTGATACGCTCATTAAGCTTCTTTGTCAAGGATCAGAGTGTAGTATCGGCTCGATCCCCGTTTGTTCCACGCTAGAATCAGTTATGTTTTTACATTATTTTTCAATGAAAATCTCTACTATTATTCTGTTTGTATGTATGGCTGTTACGCCTTTGTCCCCAGGATCAGAGTGTAGTATCTGTCTGAGCCTCGACCCTTCCGGGCTGGATTTAAATATGGTTTCTGATTCAAAATATATACTATTATTCTATTTGATTTTATGTATAACTGTTATCCTTTTTTTAAGTGTCTCTTGGGTTTATACGTAGTAAATTTTAGTAAAAGCCGAAGAGCCCCTCAATGTAGAAATTTAATGAATGCGATGTGTGATGAGTAAGAGGAGGAAGTAGAAAATGAAGATTATGAGAATAGTGAGAATAGATAATAATTGGCACTCAAAATGTCAAAAAAAATGTTAGGATAAAAGTGTAGTATCTGTGCCTGATCCCCATCCCTACTGAACAGAAATCTATCCTCTTTTTGTACTTGTTAGTCTGTATGACTCTTACACATTTCTACCTGGAATCAAAGCCTAGTATCAACCTAATCCTGGTACTTCTGATATCACTTTTCCTTTTGTAATCATTTCACCCCCAAGCAAGACAATAAAGCCACTAAGACGCAAAGGGGTTACCGAGTGTAAGAGAATATGAGAGAAATCACAATTAACGTTCGAGAACAATAAAAGAGCAGGAATTAAGAAGACGGAAGATGACGATTGACATTACATTTAAATTTTGGAAGACCAAAGTTGACTGGAAAGCGAGAAGCCGGAAAAGAGTTCCACAAGGGAGAAGTGCGATAGAAGAAAATGTTAGCATAGAACTTACGGTTACATCTAGCCAACTATACAGTAAACTAATGAGACCTTGCCGCCAATCTAGTAGTAAATTCATAAACCCCAGATACAATAGAGAAAAGTTCATCCATTCAGTTACCATATTTATAGAAAATGACACAGGGAAGCTATGTTACGGCGGTGGAAAAGTGACTGAAGCCGAGATGCCAGGTTAGGATTGAGAAAATTGCAGATTCTTTGGGGGATTTTATCAAGACTCTCTAAATACATAGCAGAAGCACCAGGTCAGATGTGACAGTAATATTCAATCCCTGAACTAGACTTATAAATATGTTAAGATAGATTCTAGCGATAAAAATTGTCTAACACGACACAGTGAACCAACTTTCTTAGCAGCAGACCTAGGAATTGAGTCAATATAATCTTTCCACCTCATGTCATCGGGAAACGTTAACCCGAAAACTTACTCTTTCAAACCGAGAATCTATACAATCATTCTGTTTTGGTTTTGTTTATGGATCCTGTCCGTATTTAACAAAAGTAAAACAAATACACATTTTAATCTCTCTTCACTAAATAAATTGCTCGTGGAAAAAAAAAATCTATTTTTGATTGGCGTAACTGTAACAGTCGTACCGAACCAGCAAATATTCGCGAACGGCGTTAGTAAATGTTTCCCCAAGTGAGACACCGATGAGACAGGTATCATAATTTGACCATCAACTGATACGTTGTTATCGATAACGCTGATAAGGGTCTGGGTTATCTAAAACGGAGTTAGCAATGAGGCCGCGTTTTAGATTGGGTTGTAGTTGTCTCCTGCCTGGGTGGGCCTAGGGAGCGTAAAAATTGGTCTGTTTTAGTCTCGGGGTTCCTCACTTAACGGCCGTGTCCGCTTTCACAAGATCCTGACAACGTCACCTACTGGGAATGACCAAGAATGAAGCGACGGTGACGAGGAGAGGAAAAGTATTTCTCTTTTCTTTCTTTTTGCTGTGGCGACAGGGGGTAGGGATACGTTCGCAGTTAGGGTCGGGGAGATATAAATTTAATCCCCCACCTTTTTTTTTTTTTTTTTTCTTTTTTTTTTAGGAAAAATGACATTTTTGTAATAGAGTAACGAGAAGAAAGATGGACAGAATGAGATAGATCTCAACATGGACAGATTGTCTACCCTGCTAATTAACACAAGCTACATGGAGAAGAAGTGGATAACAAGTCAGTCTCTCTCTCTCTCTCTCTCTCTCTCTCTCTCTCTCCCCTCTCTCTCTATATATATATATATTTATATATATATATATATATATCACTCTCTTTCGCTCCCTCTCTCCATTTAATTTCACTCTCTCACTTTCTTTCTCTCTCCTTTTCTCCATCTCTCTCTACTCTCTTTCTATTTTCTCTCTATCTCTCTTATTATTTCTCTGCCTCTCTCTCTCCATTCTTTGTCTCTCTTTCTTTGTCTCTTTTTCTTTTTCTCTCTTTCTCTCTCTTTCCCTCTCTCTTTATCTCCCTCTCTTTCTCTCTCTTTCTCTCTCTCTTTCTCTCCATATCTTTCTCCATCTCTCTTTCTCTAACTCTCTCTCCCCCCTTTTCTTCACTTTCTTTCTCTTTTCCCTTCTTTATCTCTCATTCTCTTTTTGCTCTATCTTTCATTGTTTCTCTCTCTTTCTCTCCATTTTTCTCTCTCTTTCTCTTACTCACGTTCATTCTTTCTTTATCCCTTTCTTTATCTTTTTCTCTCATTTTCTTTCTCTCTCTTTCATTCATTCTTTCTATTTTTTCTCTCTTTTTCCTTCTCTCTCCCCCTTTCATTTTCTCTCCCACTTTCTTTCCCTCTCCTTCTTTTTCTTTCTCACTCTCTCTTTCTCTTCATTTCTTTCCTTCTATCTCTTTCTCTCTCTCTTTCTTTCTCTCTCTTTCTCTCCATCTCTTTCTCTTTCTTGTTAGTTTTATAATAAACTGATACTAGTAATGTAACGGTTATCGGCGCGTAAGGATATGGAGAGTAAGGATAAGGAGAGTAAGGATAAGGAAAGTTCAAATTCGTAACATTCATTTTGGCACTAATGAACTTCGAAAGGGAAGCTGCTCGGATTAAGGAATCGGAGAGCCGAGTTCGAATTCCAGTCGAATCCATTACATTCACTTAAGTGCTAATACCATTGGGAAAGGTATGAATCCTCTTCTTCACCCCCAGCTTTGGGTAAATAGCAGGACCGACCGGGTTCTATAGCCTTTGATGTCAACTGATCTACCGCAGATGAAATGGCAACCTACTGCAGGAAAAAAATCTGCCTCGTCAGTCATGTATCGAAAGATACATGATCGCCTAAGTGTGTATCATGCATGGCACATAACTGACTGACTGAATTTCGAAAGACTGTCTTTTTCTCTTCTCCAACACCAAGCTGAGTAGACTGGGATCTCTAACTTTGCGCGACACCCGATCGAATTCAGATCCGTTGTTATTTTCCCAAGCCGTCATAACAATTCGCAAAATAGAAATGGAACGTATGGAGAGCCATGATCACCTTTATCCGGAAGAGATATAGCAGAAGAATTATATATTCTGGCACCATTCGTACGTTCAGAATCTTAAAATACAGTTTTTCCCAGGACTGTAAAATTATACTATGGGCTACTGTTTATTATTTTAATAACAATCTTTTAAAAAAATATTATTATTCACTATCAATTACTTATAGTTTAATATTGATCCCCCATTTCCTAATCTGTAACCTCTATGTTGAGTTCTATTTAGGATATTGGGAAGATCAAAGGTCATTGCGGTAGACTTGTTAAAATGAGACAAATTTAAAACACACACAATCATTACTCTATCTTACACTCTTTTACGCTCTCTTTCATTCTTTTTTATATGGGTTGTGTGTATGTATCTAGAGTTATAGGGATGTTTTATTTTCCAAATACAGTCAGCACATTGTGGCCGTGTTCGTATTGATTGATGGCATTTTTTTGTTTTTCATTATCAAGGCTTCCATTATTTTCAATCTCTACATGCATGCACAGAACTATACATCCGGTTAAAAAGCAAAAATAAAAACATCCTTGATAATGGCTAAAAGTATAGCCGAAAGCGCTCGGAATTACAAAACATTTGGACAGTTTCTACACACTCTGTGTCCAGGAAAGGAAACACTTATATGTAGTACCTTGGCTGTCGTAGATCAGGGAAACATGTATAAATGATGGATTGCTGCCTAAATATATATATATATATATATATATATATATATATATATATATACCGGGTGTAACAGCAAAATTGTTCAAATCGTGTAAAAGAAAAATTGTCCAATTGTTAAATTAAGCTTTTGAACCGTTGCAACTTAGAAGTGATTAAAGATATCTTACTGGAATTCTCCGAGGTTTTTATAACACTATCGTACTCTACTTTGAGCAATAACCTGGTATAATTAAACTCCAAGCTTAACAGAAGAATCGTGATGAAATCGATCATAAACGAAAATGATATTAATTATCATTAATTAATCATAGCTAAGGATCGGAAGCTTCTGAACGATTGAAATTATGTTCAAAGATATATATATATATATATATATATATATATATATATATATATATATATTGTTCCAGGGTCATTTTGCAACTTATTCAAGATGATCTCTAACCTTGTAAATGTGCCTCACACGTTTCACGTACGATTTCATTTTCAAGTCTTTTTTCACTGCTCTTTGGACTGTCATAACTGAAACTCCTCTCTCACGTGCGAAACGTCTTATGGATTGAGTTTGATTTTTTAAAATTCTTCTCTTTAGCTCAAAATTGATGATCCCTCTTCCTGTTGTGACCTTCTATGTGAAAATATGTGTAGCTATCCATTAGCGATTTTTTCTTCTTTTGTATTTAAATGCTATAGCTGACAGTTATGCTTTAGCGTTCATTGGAACGTGAAAAGTTATCCATTATAGAATTTTCTATTTTGGAATGTTTTGATCAAGCCTGCATTAATACGTGAAAACTGTTCTTTTATACGCATTTAATAATAATTTATTAATGGATAGCTACACGTAGTTTTTTCCTTACAAGTTGCACCCTTGATGATGATCTCAGAAAGAGATGGAAAGTACTTGGGAAATAAAAGCTATTTTCAATGTTACAGTACATTTCTTGTTTTATTTAATTGTAATATACGGGAAAATATTCGTGAATATTAAAGGATTATGACAAAAATAAGCAGACAATGTTTGTAATTTATTCAGTCAGACATACCATAAAGAGATTTTTCTGCCTAAACACAGAAACAGACACACACACACACACACACACACACACACACACACACACACATACATACATACATACATATATATATATATATATATATATATATATATATATATATATATAAACACTAATATTCCATAGTTATAATTTATTACATTGGAATCGTAATCACGATCCAATTCATCAAACCTACAAATTTAAAAATTCATATTCTATTGGGAATATATATATTTGCACTGAAAATCTAGAAAGTATAATTAAAAAACACAATAATAATATCCTAGAAACGCATGCCAAAATAGTATTAATAAAAACCCTAAACTTAAATTAGACAAAAATAATAAATTATGTCATTGTGGAAACCCTGAAGACTGCGCGTTGGAAAATAAATGCCGTGTAAAATCCGTGGTATACCAATGCACTATCTCATCTACTGAGAGTCCTAACACCAATATGATATATACTGGTTCTACGAAAAATGAATTTAAAACGCGGTGGAGACAACACAAAAGCTCCTTCAACAATATTAGAAATAGAAATCAGACATCCCTATCTAAATACTTTTGGCATTTAAAAGAAATGAATAAAACACCAAAAGTAAAATGGAAAATTATAAATAGAACAAGAACTTGTAAAACCTGGGATGACCCATGACATTTATGCTTACATTAAAAACTACACATTATTAAGTTTCTAAATAATGAAAATTTATTAAACCATAGACTTGAATTAACGGTTTTTTGTCGACATCAACAAATTCTCGCATTAAATAATTAGCATAAAAAACAAACAAACAATTAAATAATAAATATAATTTTTAAATTCCATAGTCTAAATAAAACGTTTAAAAGCTCAACCCAATCATAAGATAAAAAAAAACTTTATGAAATCGACAAAAAAACAAATTGTAGCCCAATACGACACTTTTATAAACACACAACTCTTTTTGAAAATAAATAAATCTCCATAGACACTTTACGGTGAACCAGACTAGACGGTATGAGTTTAAATGTCATCTTTCACTTTAATTTAGACACCCCAACCCTACCTTGGCTTGATCTCTTTCCGAAAATTAATATTGATACAAATTATTAACCATTACGTCCCTTATTTAAATAATTGCTCTAACCTTTCCATAGTAATTTAATTTTAATAATGAATATGCTTTTAAAGAAGCATAAATTTCAAGATTGGTTATTCCAAAAATTTCGCTTGAGGATGAAACAGAGCTTAGTATTTTAATTCAATTTAATTCTAATAATTATATTGAAGTTTTCAGCTCTTGTTTTTGAAACATGAGAACTCTTTTGTAGCGGAGAAATCATACTTTTAAATAAATAATTATAAATTAGGCTCTACTTTTGTATCGATCACTGATTTTTTTTTTTTCAAAATAAAAAAAAAATACTAAAGAACTTCGGATTATTTACCTAACCAGTTCTTTCTTATTTTCTATATATTTTCACACACACACACACATATATATATATATATATATATATATATATATATATATATATATATATATTGACTAATATTATTATATATATATATATATATATATATATATATATATATATATATATATATATATATATATATATATCACAGCTCTTTAGTGTAGCTAGACAATCAGTTGCTTCAAGGCTGGATGGAAACATGACCGATTTGGCATCAGTCAGAGATCCTACTCCTGAGCTATCAGCGCACGGCAATAAGAAAGGCAAATTTTAGTATTTTCTATACAAAATACGGCAGTGGCCAGGAGCAGCCACTGTTTTAAATTTACCCTTTTCTCCAGAGAGCTCTATCGGGGGATATATATCAAATTTCTAAAACATCACTTATTGTTTATTAGACAGTGAATTTTATCACATCGTGTACGCTATAGCTTGCTGACGTTTCAACTAACTTTATAAATATTTATGAGCGCCCATAAACTCAAAATTTTGCAAACCCAATGAGGTTTTTGCACTTGTATATAAATACTTAAATTTAAATATAAAAAAAAAACTCGACCTTGTCTTAATGAAGTCCCACAGAGGACGAAACGCGTCGACTAAGTTACGTATATATATATATATATATATATATATATATATATATATATATATATATATATATATGTGTGTGTGTGTGTGTGTGTGTGTGTAGTACAGGTGATTTGTGAAAAGTACACAAGTATAGTACAGTATTTGTGAAAGATGTTTTTGTGTATAGTTTCTTTGCTTCCAGGATCCTTTAGTTACTCTTATGTATACTTTTTCCTCATTCTCTGGTGATTATACCGTGGCTTGGTATATTACGTTGTTTTGTAAGTAATTACCGTTTAATGGACATTCATTCTTTATTCTACCGTTACACGTGGGGTTAATTTGTTCGGGTGTTTTTTTTTTTTTACAAAACATCTTTCACAATTAGTAAATACGCGATCAGTATAATGTTTTCTAAGTATATCTGGGAAATTAAAAACAAAACACAAATCACACTAAAAATATCATGGAAAATAAGGAAAAGATCATCAGCCTACAACAATCAATCCAAAACCTGCAAACTTTCCTTGGAGGAAAAAATAGCTATTATTTCCTTTCCAGACCAAAATAAATTACTAAACAAACGATCTGAGCTCATCTCAAAATGCAGACATAAAAACACATTTTTACTACGTTACTTAAAAT